GCTCTCTCCTCTCTCTCATCTCTCTCTCTCTCCTCCTCTCTCTCGCCCTCGCTCTCGCTCTCCTCCTCTCTCTCTATCTCTCTCTCTCTCTCTCTCTCTCTCTCTCTCTCTCTCTCTCTCAACCTCTCTCCTTCTCTCTCCTCTCGTCCTGCGTAGGGAATGCGCTGACAATAGCCCTACCCCCCTTTGCTTGCCCACCCTCCCCTTCCCCCTCCCCTCCGTGTTTCCACATCCCCTCGTTCCCTACTGCCCCGACCCTTCGCCATTCCTCCCCCTTGTTGCTGCCCCGTCCCCTCCCCCTTGTTGGGCTGCCCCCCTCCCTTCCCCTGTTGGCTCCACTCCTTCATCTTCCTACCCATCCCCTCCCCTTGGCTACCCTCCCCTCCCCCTCCACACTGCCACCCTCCCTCCCCTTGCTGCTGACCTCCTCGCCGCTTCTCGAGAGAGAGAGAGAGAGAGAGAGAGAGAGAGAGAGTAACGACGTCATATGCTCTCACTATTACCCATGCTCGTCTTGCAGAGAGGGCAGGGTCTGGAGGCCTTCCTGCAGCTGTGTCTGCAGTCTACCGAGCCGACGCGAGCTAGAGCTCAGCAGGACCAGCTACAGAGACGGGAGACGATGGTGTCCGCCACTGAGCTGCTGGTACGTGCTGCGTGCGTGTCACCCCTGTGCATGACCCCCAAGTGACCCCAGGCTGTGCACGACCCCTGCGTGTGTACTCGCTGCGTGACCCCTGCATGGGACCTTGCCATGTGACCCCACCACACGACCTTTGCACGCGACTCCTGAGTGTGACCTCTATGCGTGACCTCACATACCTTTGCATGCGACCCCTGCACATGACCCCTGCATGCGACCCCTGCACGCGACCTTGCTGTGTGACCTTTGCATGCGACCCCTACACGTGACCTCTACACGTGACCTCGCCGTGTGACCTTTGCGTGCGACCCCTGTACGTGACCTCGCCGCACAACCCTCGAATGTAACATTTTGTTCAAACATGATATTTTACGGAACAATAATATCAAGAGTAGATAATAAAGTCTATTTCCATAGAGTCGATTTTCGGCCAAAATACCAGATTTTCACCGCTCATTATCTCAGCGTAGGGACATCGTAGGAACAAGCGGTTGGTTTTACATTATCAAGGAAGGACAGCTGAATAATAATACAGCAAAGAATTATCAAAATAAAACTCGTAAAGTTTACTAATTTCACTGAAACTACAACATGGTTTTTGCATTTCACCGTTGTACGCTCTCCTTCTTAATACGCTCTTAATAATATCACTTACATACACCATAATAAACAAATAATAAAAAAACTATTAGAAAAGATATATGCACAAAAAGTATGACAACCAGGCTTGTTTACTTTGCGATCTTTAGTAAATCTAATTCTTTTGGTGGTAACACGAACTTATCGGCTACAACTCTCAACATTCACACGGCATATTATGATGTATGGGGGCGTGTTATACGAGAAACAAACTAGTCCTAAAATTAGTCTTAACATGAACTTTTACTCGTAGACCCTTAACAGAAACATGGTAAAGTTGCGAGTCTCATACACCGTGTATGTAGGTGCAGTCTACAAGAAGATGTTTAATGTAAGGCTACCATTTTTTATATTGTTGGTTTACAGAATTTTTGTTGTTGTTGTTGTTGTTGTTGACTCGGTAGGGTAAAAAAAAAAAAAATTGTCAAACAAGTCAAAATACAGTGATACTC